CTGCCGGCGAGGGAAGGGAGCGGGGCTGCTGGAGCGCGGTTCCCTGCGCGTAACAGAGCGGGGCTGTGAGCACCCACAGCGCGCAAGGGCCTGACCCCGTCTGCCAGGCGGCCACGCTGCAGGAGGAAGGGACACAGGCAATCACACCCGTACAGCTGCTATGGATTTATTGGGAAAAATTAGTTACATTCGTTCTAAGGTGCCTAAAAACTGGATCTCCAGTTCTGACTTCTAACAAGGAGTCAAGGCTCCCGCCCTTTAGCAAGACAATAAAACTTTACACACACACAGTACTTTAAATACTTTCTGCAAAGCCAAGCCCTCCCACTCCCTATCATACAATACAGATGCAGCATCTCCCACTCTTCGATTACCCTCAATTTACATTTCAGGGGGACAATCTCAAGATGCAAGTTTCAGTTTAGAATTCCTCAAGTCATCATTAGGTTCAAGCTTGACACCAGGAGCAATTGTTCAATACTAAAGGACAACAGATCTGCCGGTGGTTATTCCATTGCTCTTGAAGCTTAGGGCATAGATAGTGAGAAGATAAGCTTTATTTACACTTGGCAACAAAAGTGATTAGGCCACTAGGTTGCCACTGTGAAAGAGGCACACTCCACTACTTCAAGGCCAGATTCTTCAATGTGCTGAAGCACCCAACAGATGATTGCCCTTAATTCACTTTATAAAAGATTTCATGCATTGGCACTCTTTTTCCCAGGGCAAAGACAAGAAGAAGTGATTTCCAACACTCTCCAGAGCCCCAAAAACCTGCTCTCTTGAGTGTCAGTACATTAATTCAGTGTACTGATAACAGAACTTTTGGAAGCATCCTGGAGCTACTGTTAGGAAATGAAGTGGGTCTCCGGCATGATCTGATCAATTTTGTGGTCAGCTGGGTTTGCTGATGCTTCGTAGTTACAGATGGTCACTTCATGTCGATAAGCCTGAATCAAGGTAAATGTATTTAGTCCCATGCCACTGAAGCTCAATTTGCTCCACCAAAAAACCCAAAGAAACCTGATGTGTTCTTCCCACATCACTTCTGTCCAAAGTGATCTCTCCCACCCGTCCCACGATGTGCCCAAACTGAATTTGGTGCCAGGCACTGAGGCACAGGCACCTGTCCCAGCTCAGGAAATGCTTTACAAGTCAACCCTCCATTGATGCCAAACCCAGAGGCCAAGAGCCATCTGACCCAACCCCCAGGGAAGGGGTTGGGACAACCTCCCTCCATCCAGGTCCTGCTGTCCTCCCCAAACCCTTTCCTCCAAATGAGGCTGCTAGTGGGATGGCACCAGCAGCAGGGTTTCCCTCCCTCCCTCCCGTCCAACTCACCAGCAGCAGCTGGGGGAAGCGAAGCCAGGCAGACTGGTCACTGTATCACTTTGCTACTGTCAGGAAGTGTGGGTCCTGCACTATCCTCCAGAGTGGCACAAACAGGCACAAACTTTGCTGCATTTCCCCCTGCTACTGCCAGTGAGTGAAGGCAGCTGGATCTTCCCTTGCAGGTTCCAGGACCCTATTTCTGGACTAGTTCCCCTGCTGGCTAGCCCCTCCCACAAAAAACAGCATTGGGAGGTGCATGACACCCCTCACATCCCCACCCTGCCTCCTCCACTTTTACTCACCTCTGTCCATTCTCCCCTCAGGCCTATATAAAAGATCTTTGTCGTCTCAGCTCCAAAATTCTTGGAAATATGGATGGAGAGATGGTAAACATTTGAGAAACGAGCAATTCTGGAAGAAAAAACAGACTGAGTTCAGAGTCCAGTATGTAACCAGTCATCCAGGGCCCATTGGGAAATAATTCCTAATTTCTAAAGCAGTTCCTGCACTAAAAAGGATGAAAGTATAGGAAAGCCTGTTGAGATGTGAAGACTAAGCAATCATGTAGGAGACCTGGTGTTTTAGCCATTCACTCCTTGGAGCAACAAAACTGGGAGTGAAGAGGACTCATGACTCCCCTGGCATATTGCAGAACAATAAAAAGTCTACGTTAGTCCTTTTTGGTACAAATGGTGGTGGAGGAGATAAGGCATGGAGAATTCAGTTTGGGGAGCCTCTGGGATGCAAACCCCAAGAAGGTCTCCCCTTCCCAGGGAAAAGGTCTGCTACACCAGTGTTTCTCAACCAGTGGTACGAGTATCCTTGGAGGTACATCAATACAACTGAAATTTGGAGAAAACTCAATTTTTGTTTTAAGTTTTACAGCGTTATTATTTTTGTACTTTTTACACCCAAAAATGTTATCACCCGCCCAGCTATGATTAAGTTGTTTAAACAAATGTGCTGCAACAGTAGAAAAAAACCTGTGTGTCTGAAAACTGTAAGTACTGGGGCGTACTTATATTTTTTTAAAAGGGTACGTCATAAAAAAGGTTGAGAAACACTGTCCTACACCACTTAGGGAATGGTAGAGGTCTCACTCCAAACACAATTGCAGAGAAGAGCCAGAAAAGACATTTAAAAAGCGCATTCTATTATTTAATGCAAAGTTATGATGTGAGTGAAGGAACTGCGCTCCCCCACTAACATCTTGTAAGAGTTGACTAGCACGTGAGTCAGTCTTGATTAAAAGAACAAACTCATTGGCTCCACAGGAAATGAATGTCTGTGCATCCCTAATATGTACACAACAGAGAAGGGAAGAGGCTGTGTCGTACTTTGTGGCATATTCCAGTTCTCCTGTTAGATCCCGATTCAGACTGAAAACTTGATCTGGTTCTTTGGCTGTATCATCAAATGACATATGAGGAACATTCTTGAACCTGGGAAAGGGGAAAAACAGTGGTTAAAATGCATCTCAGCTAACTGATTTATCTATCTTGCCTCTCTTCCCACCATTGAGTTATTAAATTGGCTTTATCCTGTGAAAAACACAACGGGATCAGCCAAAAAAAATAGCATCATCTCAGGAACCGTCAACACACCATGACACGTAAACAAGCACAGAACAGAGAGGTAGAGTTAAGACATTCATCAACAGCACTTCGACTTCATGTTCTACTCAGTACTGATGAGACCTCAGCTGGAGTACTGAGTGCAATTCTGGGTGCCACACTTTAGGAAAGATGAGGACAACTGAAGGGAATCCAGAGAAACACAACATAAATGATAGAAAGTTTAGAAAACCTGAGCTATAAGGAAAGCTTCAACATGGCTGCTTTTTCAGTCTTCAGAAATGAAGACTGACTGATAGTCTACAAATTTGTTAGAAGTCATAATAAATAATTGTTCTCAATGTCCACTGAGGCTAGGACAAGTAGCAATTGGTTTAATCTGCAGCCAGTGAGATTAATATAAGGTGAAACTTTCTAACTATAAGGATAGTCAAGATCTGGAACAGTCAAGATTAAGTAGTGGATGGACAAATGCCCGTCAGGGCCAATGCTTCCTCTAATTATTTTCCATCCATGTACGGAATAGATTATGTGCACTGAGGCATGTGCAGATATGCATCACCAGTAGAAACACATGCTACCAGCTGTGCACGCTGTGCTACTCAGCTGCACAGCACCTGAATCTCTCCTGGGTGGCTGCACAAGAGCTCATCTTACAGGAAATACTGATCAGGGCTGGTCAAGGTATATAGAATCCTGTCCCGGAACAGAGGGCTGAGACTGGATGACTGAGGTCCCTTCCAGCCCTACATTTCTATAAATTCTATTTACAAGAGGAATCAAGATTCCAGTGCTTTAAAAACAGAGCAAAGGTGAAGGGAAAAGCTGCCTTTAGCAGAAAGCCAGGTGGTGATGAGGGCCCTGAATAAGTCACAACTTCACAGAAATTGTAAAATTACGGTAGGGGGTTTACTCTACAAACAGCATTCCTGGGTCTGAGCTCTTTGAAAAGCCATGGCATCAGGCTGCTCCTGTGACACCACACACACCGCAACAACTGCCAGGTCCAAGGCAAGCCTCAGCTCATCCTGAGCTCATCTCCAGGCCAGACTTGCTACTTCTTCCTGTCCTGCCAGCCAGTTAGGAGGAGGTGTGGCACTGACAACATGCAGCAGTACGGGCCCTGGCCTGCCTCACAGGACCCTCACCAGACCTATGGGAGACACTGCAGCACCAGCTTGCAAAGTCTAGGTCTGGGACCCTCTGCTTGAAGCACAAACAGGTGAAGGGGCTGTCCTAGCAGAAGGATGAACGGTCAATTCCAGAGCTGGCAAATCCTGGTCTCAGCTCCTTTAGTAGTTATTACTGCATTGACTTCAAAGGGGCTTACCAAAGCTCCTAATCCCAGTGCCTTATCAGTTCCGTGCCACTCTCCCCTTCTTCCCTTCCCTCAACTCAGAGAAGGAAGCAGCAGTGGCCCAGATCTCTGCAGAGCACAGTGTGATCTATAGAGCCTTGCAAATCTGCATGGCAAATCCTGGTCTCAGCTCCTTTAGTAGTTATTACTGCATTGACTTCAAAGGGGCTTACCAAAGCTCCTAATCCCAGTGCCTTATCAGTTCCGTGCCACTCTCCCCTTCTTCCCTTCCCTCAACTCAGAGAAGGAAGCAGCAGTGGCCCAGATCTCTGCAGAGCACAGTGTGATCTATAGAGCCTTGCAAATCTGCAGCTATCCGCAGATCATGTTTGTGGATCAGATGCAGATACAAATTTTGTATCCATGCAAGACTAAAACTAGGCCCCAATCCCAGCTCTAGACAAGGCTACAACAGATGGGCGAAACCTAGTGATGAGATGGCCCTCTCTCCCCACCCACACCCGTCTCCTGAAATAGGATCAGTACTTCATTACAAGTCACAGAAGCTCATGCTGGAACCCAGCAGTCGTGCACATCCCATGAAATTCAGACACCTACCTGATGCTGCGATGAATAATACCCCCTTCCACAATTTTCACAGGGCCTTAATCATGTTTATCACCAAACACTTACATTTATATTGGTTGAACCGCAATAGTCTGGCACACAGGTCTGGTGTGATGTGTTAGCCAGATGTCCACGTATCGTGTGTGGCCAAGGTTCCCCACAGTCTCAAGGTTTTACAGCTCAGTGTTCTGTGCTGTTATTCAGCTCTAATTTACCTGACTGTCTTCTAAGAGTCCAATAAGCAGTGGAAGTGTTAGCAATGCTACTACACAATACTGACTAGGAATGTAAAATAGGGGTGAGCAGGGGGTAGGGGAGTTGCTCCCCCACCTGGGGCTGGGGCTACTGTGCTAGGGATGTTAAAAGCAGGTAAATGGGTAACTGTAATTGCTGAATTTTCAGCAGTTATCTGGTTAAATCCACCTGCAGCACAGGGGATGGCATCCTGGGAGCTGGTGCGTGCCAGGAGATGGCTTCCGCTGTCACTGGATGCCTTGCCATACTGCTACCTCTCTATCAGAGGCAACAGTACAGGGCAGTAGTCAACTCTCTGGGACCCTGTTTAAAAGCTGGCTCCGAGCTGGCAACAGCTCCCTTCTGTTGCCTGCACTACTACTCAGCTCCCCGGAAACCAGTGCACACCAGGAGCTAGCTTTTAAGCCAGCTCCCAGCACATGCTGGCACCCACCTGCAGCCCTGTTCCTGGGAAGCCAGCTGCTGCCTGCACTGCTGGCTCTGATACAGAGCCAACACCGTGGAATGGCATCCAGCTCGCCAGAGTGGGGTAGGACCCTGCCTGTAATCGTTTACAGTAACTGATAAAGGCCAGGACCTGACTCTGGGCCTGAAGCAGCGTACTGCCTGTGGTAAGCAGGGAGTTGCTCCTGCCCACCAGTTAAACCTTCATTTCCCTAATATTGATGTCCTGTGGTTCAGCACCGATCAGCTGCTGAAAGTGCCAGACTAGAGAGGGTCAAACTGCATTAATCTAGTATAGGAGCTTCTACTCTGTAATAGGAGCAGGCAGCCTGGCTTAAACTCAGGACTAGAAGTAAGGTACTCCTGGTTTCTGATTTAAATTCACCAATGCCTGCTCTAGCTTTTGTAAAATGCTGATAGAAATACTGATGTCATTGGCAAGGAGAACTTTGCAGTAGAAAAAGAAAAACTAATGTATTGTTTTTAAAACTGACATAAAAAATAAAAACCCTTAGTACAAGTTGCTCTAGAATTCAGTCTCATCTTCACATAGCAAATGGAAGACCATCCCTGAGAACATCATAAAAACACTGCTTAGAGATTTCAATACTGTTCTGAAACAGCTGTGCAAATATTCTATACAATATCTGTCCAATATGAGCTTTTCTGGGGGCCAGGCCCAGTTCCACTTACAGTCTCATCTCTGAGGGGTGTGTGTCATCATCCTCTCCCATCACAATTATCCCTTTTAGCTTCACATTGCCTGTAAACCTGCCATGAAACACAGAGTAAGTGATTTCACCTTCATTATCTTCCAGTAAGTCTTGACTATACATCACACAATTCATTACATGTCAGTCAAGAAGAGCTGCCATCACCCAAATTTGTTTTCTAGTTAATTTCCCAAGAACATTCAAGGAAGACTACTGAGAGTAAAGAACTTGTCACAAATAAAACTAAGTCCATTGGGCATTACACGGTATAAAATGGCACCAAGCAGTTACTTACGGGATATTAAACAGAAGTTCTTCATCATCATCACTTTCGACAAACTAAAAGATACAAAACTGGATTAAAAATAACCCTTTAGAAACCGATAATGAAGACATTCTGTAATGCCATATATTATACTTCCCTTGCACTTCCTTCTGCATCAGTTCATACCTGCATTCCATTGAAAGTTTTGTGGTAACATTTGCTGGGAACCATATTAATATACTGCATTTTATGTTGGGAGTTATGAATGAATTTGAACAATGCATTATCCAATGAACTTTGTTTATACTGAAAATCATAATTCAGTTATACAGCTGCTCTGCCTACTAGTAAGCATTCTAACATATTTAATAGAAAAATTTAAACCAATAACCCACTGAAACATGCACTAGAAAGTCTGTTGAGGTGTGGGACAAAAAGCCTTTTTTGTTATGGCTTATGAATGTCTACACTAGCAGCACTTTGTTGGTATAAGCATGCTGATGTACAATACCTACTGGTTTTGACTGCACTTTGTACCACAATAATAAAAACACCTCTATGAGCAAAATAAACTATACCAGTAGAATTTAGGAATGTCAAATACTGTGTAATTGGTTAACACCTAGAGCAACCCCTGTCTATGGTGGACCCCACGGGGCTGGAGCTGCCCCCAGCAGGCAGGGAGCTGCTCCAGCCCCCATTGGTTAACTGAAACCAGTAAGCATCATCCATTAAGGGCGATGCTTACCAGTTAACCTTACACATCCCTAACAAAAGCATACCTATATAGCCAGGTGCTCCTGGTGCAGATGCAGCTTATAAGGCAGAGCTGCCCCTTTTACTGGTATAATTTATTCTAGCCTTCCCAAGTAAAATAAACTATACCAGTAAAAACAAGTCCTTGGCAACTTAAAGACTAAGGGTATGTCTGCACTTGCACCCTATTTCAAAATAGGGGTGCAAATGAAAGCATTGGAAATCGCAAATGAAGCCGGGATTTAAATATCCCACGCTTCATTTGCATATTTGCGTTATGGCCCTATTTTGAAATAAAATGCACTGTGTAAACGCGTTATTTCGAGAGAGTTTGCTCTCGAAATAACACCTCTACACAGCACATTTTATTTCAAAATAGCGCCATAACGCAAATATGCAAATGAAGCGTGGAATAGTTAAACCTCAGCTTCATTTGCAATTTCCAATGCCTTCACTTGCATCCCTATTTTGAAATAGGGTGCAAGTGTAGACATATCCTAACAAAACACCCAGGAAAGCTTACACCCAAATAAACGTGTACTCAGCTTTGGAAGCCTTGGGGGCCACAATGATACTCATAGCACATGCTGAGGGCCACAACCTAAGTGTGGTTGCATGGACATGCAAATATATATGTAAATATATGCAAATAGCTTCTTTCACACAATGCCCCAGCACTCCTGAAATCTCCTCCCTGGGGGCTAGAAATGCCAACACCCTGTACCCATCTGTTCAGCCACCAGTCTGCTTGCATCTTTAAATGCTCACCCCACCTGGGAGATGCCCAGCTGTTGCGGAGCATGTTCCCAGTGGAGGCCATGTTCAAAAGGTCCCACCCACAAGCCGTGTGTTGAGCCCCATGTAAACCCAAACTGCACTGTGGCCCACAGACCGCCTGTTGAGTAGCCCTGCTTTAAGTTGTTGTAAAGTCCTCAACATTTTTGCTGAAACAAACTAATATGGCTACCCCTCAGACTTCTAAACCAGTAAAATCACACTCACCCACAGTGGGGTTGTGCCAGTAAACAGTCATAGGAAAATCAACACACACACACACTTGTACTGAGACACTGTTCATTCCGTTTGTATCTGGGGCGGTACGCGGTACCTGCCCCCCCCC